TATTAAATAGATTATCAGCATATCAAAACCAGATTTCAAGTCTGGGACATTTTTAGTATATCCAACCTCCTTAGCTTACCTATAAATCAGAGATTATAGTAGATTATAGGATAGAACATTGTAGTTTAAATATTTGTGTGTACACCAAGATAACGTGGCCTGTATGCGTCAATAAACACACATTCCATTAATCTGTGTGTGTATGTATGTAAGCCAATGTTAAATCATTTGTTGATACACGGGGCTATTTTACTGTATTGATATAGAATAGCATCACCATACATAATTCAATTGCAATGCCTATGCAAGTTACTAACGGTTGTAAAACTACATATATTCAATACTAAATTCAAACAAAATATGTCAGTCTGTTTATCTGTGTCTGATTTCCAACAGTACATCCGAGTCAAAATTGAATGGATTGTAGAATAACCAAAACTGTGTACATTAAAAAACAATGGGTTGTCAACAAACCGTCTTGGATTTGTTAATTATACTTTTTACCTAGGGACATTACAGGAAAGGGGAAACATATTCTTGACAGTTGATATCCAGTTATCTGTGTTTAATATAGAGGGTTATGAGCCGTTCTATTTATAAAACTACTGTGAAAGGTACCAGTATGACACACTACAAATAGGGAATTGGTGCACATCTTTTGATGTTTGCCGCAATTACAAAAGCATCTTTGTATTCTCTAGGGGTTTTACTTCAATCAAGGCTCTAGATGCGCGATCTTCCCCATGAACCAGTCAATTATTAATATTCGCTGCTATTTATAACAGAACATTTAGTTAATCTCAACGTGTCTACATTGCCCCCCATTTAAATCATCTCCTATATCGACAGAGCGTATCAGTGACATAAACTTGAATTGGTGAACGTAAGACCATTCACAGCATTGGGTATTGGCATGCAGCCGCTCATTAAATTAAAAAATAATGTTTTGAGAGATAAACTACATCCCAAATTACGAACAACTACACAACTAAACAGTTGTTGCTTTGAAAAATTATGTAATTTTACCATCTCGCAGAAGCCCCTATGATGTCTAGTATTGTCTACACTTACGTTTTTAAATGCACATGCAGTAAATTACACAACACAGATATAAAAGAAGGAAATTCATCACCTTATCGTGGAGGTCGTTGTAATAACTAATAATGCATGTCTCGGTGACGAACACAAGCACACATTATAACTGGAATTCAAAAAAAAAACAGTCTGTACAAATTCCGTTAGAAAAAGCAAATCTAAAAAAGTGTCAATGCGAAACACAATAGTGTATGCAGAGTAAAAAAATCATTGTCGGTGAGTAAAGCCTTCATAATAATATTTATAATATTATACACGTTTTCAATGCCATGTGAAATACACCATTTTCCATGCACCATTTTGATTGCAAGATATATCATTTAACTTATGCAGCCGGTCGACATATTATATCGATTACGACTTGATGTGACCCCTAATATATAATAGGTCTATGTTCAAATTTAAGATTGATATCCAAAACTCGTATTCCAATGATCACCAACCTAGGGAGTCAAAGGTTGAATTTGATAGGAAATAATATGTATAATGTTGTATGTTCTAAAATATGTAGATAATATATTGTGACATAAATTGTAAGTGAAAAGTACTTTTAGAAATCAAAGACCTTGCTGTTTGAATGAAAAACACATATGTTTGGATACTTCGCAACAACCCATTGCAAATGTTTATTTTTTGCCTGTTCATACAGTCACTTTATGCATAGAGCCACTGGTGGCGCTGTATACAATTGAGACCTAATTAGGCTTGCCTTCGCAATTGTAGATTTGAGTGTAAAACGTAGAAACAGTTGTTAAATTTGGTGACCAATTTAGTATGATAGAATGCGTCTTCAAATAACCACAATAGACAGAGCGGGGGTCGAAACCGAATATACGTGATTCCGGCGTTTAATACTAATGCTTTCTATTAATATTTTCACTTTCAAATAATATTCATGAGATATGTCATAACCTCGTTAAAGGTTATTAGAATATTGTGTACGCAGTGTGCATGCTTCGGACACTATTCAACAACGCATGCGTCATCACGGAGGTCAATTGAAGTTTACGTTCCATGTAACGGCAACGTAACGTTGAGTACCGTCAATGAGGTTTCGCCATATTGATGGTGCTGAACGTTGTGTTCGTATTCGAAGCTCACAAATAAGTGACACTACCAGATATATACAAGTATAGCCAACAAGCCACACCAACCCAGCGACTGCTGATTATTTGTACACACTCTCACCATGTCATACGCTGTAATATGCAATTACAATTATGGTTTCCTCATAACTCTGGATTGTGTTGTTAGCAGAATTTGAGACACATACATCCTGCCCCCCCCCTGTGGCATAATGGTATATCTTAGACAGTGGCATGGTGATTGTGAAATACCTTGGAATGTACTAAGCCCAGTGCTGTTGACAATGGAAATAGATATGACATCATTGACCCAAGTCTCCTACTTTAAATTGGTAGAGCTTGGATTAAAATTGGTTTATTCAACTACTAAATACACAGATTTGTCCGCTATTTCGAGATAACCAATCATTTCGTTGGATACATTTTGTTGTTTGCATGGTCATAATTTAGCTGACTTGATCCTGTAATATCCTGTGTTCTAATTCCTGACTCCAGTAAGCTGTCCCTTATACTGAGGTACAGACGTGTTGTGCATTAATCCCTGCTGATCAACAAGAACTGCAAGGAATACCGGCGCTACTAGTAGCAGCAGATAGCAGGCAGTTGCCGACACTCCCTGGACTCAGAGCGCGAGTTTAAATTGTAGTGCAGCTGCTTCGACAGAGTGTCTGGAACGAAGGAACGCAAGATATATTGTATATTGAACGCAACATATATTGTATATTGCTGTTCACCGGAGAGTGGAGTGGTCCCTGCAGCATCGATTGAGTCCCAAGTTTTATTTGTTTACTGTATATCCCCATTCCTTGCTGGTTCCAGCACCCCGTGCTATTTATGTATTAAAGTGAAGGAAACCTTATATATTGTGTTGCTTTGATTTATTGTATTCGTTACCGATATATTTGCTCAGCCTCAGTTGTTGTGATATACTTTCACCAAACGACCCCCACCTCGTGACAGTAGACGAGCTGAAGGGAGAAGACTTATAAGATAAACTCGCTACAAGAGATGTATATTATTAGACTTGTATTGGAGATAAGCTCCCAGCTCCTGAATGCAGAGTAGCCTCACAAAGGCCTCTCCCCGTATTTGACGTCACAATATTTTCAGTAACTATAAGAGTATGATTTTAACTTTAACAAATTTGTACTCCGATTGGTTGCAAAAAATACACTAAATGCGGTCAAAATAGTTTTTCGTAAATACCAACTATCCCGTTCACATTGTTTATTATAGGCCAGGTGATTTAAACATGAATTACTGACTAATTGGTAAAATTATAAACTTATAACACCAACAAATACAACAACATTGATTTCAAATATATACGTTTGTTTTGGCGTGTACTTTACCTTGACAGCCTGGGAGCTTCTTTAATCATTTCAAAGTATTCAAAGAACAAACACATACGTTGGAAGTTGCAAAGAATGTTCACTTTGTTTAGTAACATTTTAGTTGCTTTTGGTCATGAGTTACTTTGTTTCTAAATGCTAGCTCATTTTACCCAGCTTTATTGTTATGTTTTTATTCGTACATCCAGTATATGCGAAGATCGTGATCGACTGAATAGTCTTTTAAACCATGTGACAGTATAGCTGCATTAATTTGACTCAAATGACGTATGTTATAATGGCGGCTCATCCACTAACACAAAGACGGCTCCATGCAGACGAGAATTTATGCCGCCACTCGATGTGTATGTGCAATTGTCGTACAAATAACCTCCATATTTGTAAGATTTTACCGAATATGTTTTCCTATTTCCACTAAATCTTCTAAAACGTGCCTAAATGTTGTTAAAATAATCCTTTAAAACCAATGATCTTTAAACGCATATATTCATTTATACTTCTGCTGTATTCCAAATTCGCGTGACGCCAGGTTATAGACTACTTTCCCGGAAGTCGAAAATACGTTACGCATGCGCGCGCATTCCGTTTTGGGCTGTAACGTAAACTTTCACGCGTGATACTGTGCTTCTTGGTGTACCAATCGACGTCACAAAAATAAAATTCCCTTCTATCGACTATCAGCAATCTGGCATGTTTGTATTTTCCGCCGTGACAAAGCAGGAGTATTTTTACACTCCAGTTTTGCTACTTCCAGGAAAGTCGTATATTCCCAGTAGTATAGCGCCCCCATTCCTGAGCCGTGATGATGGGTATACTATCTATACAGAGAATAACGAATTTAAGCCAAGTTATTGTGTTGAAAGTAGATTGTATTTAAAAATAATAATAATAGCCTTCATAAAATAAATTCAATTTATTATTGTCACGTACTTTCAGCAAGTGGTCACCTTTTCCCAACAGTTTGAAAGTGGTTGTCTACTAGTATTTTCTTATTTTGTCCGAGTCGTAAGAGGGTTATTTCAGTTGCAAAGAAATCTGGTAAACAGTCATGGACCAGGTATCATAATTCTAATTGATTGACTGGCTTATTTCGTGGGAGACTGGTTAATATACGTAATTTACCATCTTGATTTCGGGATATCAACTTCTTATCACGTGGTAATTTTTACAATAAAATCTGCTGTAATGAAAATAGTTAAGCGCAATAGTAGTCGGTAAAAAAAATTGTTCATTGAGGAATCAGTGACTTTAAATGCATACAGTTGCCATAGTTACATACTCAGAAAGTTAGTATAGAGAATTTAATGGCTACAAATGAAATATATATATTTGAAAATGTACAGCTGTCGGGGCTAAAATCTCCGACACACTTCTTGCACATGATGGCGCACGTCTGAAAACTAAATAAACAGACGATTATTTAAACTAGTCGTATGAGGGCGCAAGTAAATCCAACCTTTGACCCAATTTTGATTGTGAACATGGCGTCGAATACAGCCCCAACGGGCGTGAAGAACGAAAAAGTGGCTATTGTTGGCAGGTATTTAATTTATTTATTCAAAATTATTTATAGTAACAGTTTTCATTTCACTAACCTGGTCGTTGAACCCACATGTGCAAGTGCGGTACGGTGTAGTGCAGCGTGTGACCTCAGTTATCCCGGTTTACACGCCCCCCCCCCCCCTGCTGTAACTTAAAGGGGAACCGATACTATAAATAAGGGTCAAGATGGCATGCATGCCTATAAACGACACATCATTGCCAATGGTAATGTCACAATTGCTGTTTTGCACATCTGTGATTTTGAGAAGTATAGCGGCGTTATCGTACACATCGGCGTAAAGCGCACTATTACTATTGTTTAACCATGGTGAGTATGTCCAGGGTTTAACTTATTAGAAGATCGGCAAGGGGTATTAAAGCTGTAATCAATTGTTTTTATTTTCGTAATAATTTATTTAAATAAATAAAAACGTTAATTCGTAGACAGGGGCAAGGTGTAAAATGTAATCAGCTATTTTATTCGTCCGTAATTTGTACAAAGATCATTTTTTAAATTAAATGTCGTAATTCGTACGCAATTTCCAATTTTGATTCTTAAATACAAATTATCAAAAATATTATTAAAATATAATTAGGAATTTATTTTATCTGTAAATTGTAAAAACCTATTTTTTACTCTAAAATGCCGTTTTATTTTCTTGTAACCTGTACCAGCTATCCCCCTTGCCCCCCTTACTAACCATGCTCCAAATCCTTACAATTTTGAAGATATATTAATAGTATAGCTTCCCTAGTCACTGGCGTGACTGTATTTAGAAATCCATTTTTAACTCTGAGGTACTTACAAATAAAAAAACGCCGGCATTTTTAATTTAATTCATGCGAGAAAATCGTTTGTTTTTAGGGCAATGTAGCTGATTTCATCCACAATTGGACTCTGAACTGGGAGTGCTGGATATATGTGTTAATCAATCATCATCGATTTTGGTACCTGGGCATGCTATTTCATTAAAAAAGTTATATTTGTCAAAGTCCTGGACTTTGTCTATGGAGGTACGCAGGGCTGTGGTGGGGAACATCTATCAACCGAACACACAGCACTGAATGCAGAGCTAGAGTGGGTAGTACAGCCCATGACACAACGAGTATCAACCAGCTCTACGAATAAGTAATATAAGGGGATATGATATTTTTTATCACATGACCAGTGTGTCAAAATGACAGGAAAATTGTGATTTTATAAATAATGCTTATGAATCTTGCGCTATTTAGATGAAAATGGTATTGTTGCATAATTTGATTTTTTTATGAAACAATCACTCAACAAATTATGTCATGAGTATGCATCTGTGTGTGTCATGATTATGTAAATATTGAATGTACCTTGACAGTAGTAGTGTTCACACACAATTTCTTAGCACAGGCTAAGAGATCAAATACCTTATCCCATGCTGAAAAAAAATGTGCCTTAACTTTTAGCACAGCTAAGAAATGTACAGACTAAATTTAGCCCTTTTTTAAGATCTGGTCCAGATCCTTAGCATGGGCTACTGAAGTGTAAGTGAATTCTTAGCTCGGCTAAGTGCCCAAAACGCTAAGCGCCCTCATACCAATACTTTTAATAATCGTCTGTTCAATTTAATAACCATGTCTATATAATTAGAAGACAGCATTATTACCGGTATATCATAATATGTAATCAGACATTATTGTAAACAGTCTGTGTACGTTTTCAATTATTCCACAGAACTCTGGTGTGTCTCATATTAAAGAGTTTTATTGAAGAGATAATCAAAAGATGACAGGCATAAATTTGTACAATAAGTCCCCCTCTTCCCCAAGTTAAAGTGGAGGGGTCGTCATTTGCTCACGTGCAGGAGTCCCAAGCGACGATAACACAAACGCTAAAAATCATGGGTAAACGCTTGCTTGTAAAACAGCGACACACTATAGCCGGCTGCTGCATGTACAGGTGACGACTTCCTCGCTTTAACAAACAAATTTAATTGCGATATTGCGGTAATTTGAACATATATTTATTTCATAGTGGACTGATTGGACAGAGTTGGGCCATGCTTTTTGCTGGGGCAGGCTACAATGTTAGTCTCTTTGACATTGACCCATCTTTTGTTGCCAAAGCAATCAACAACATCAAAGAACAACTCCACGAACTTGAGAAGAGCGGTATGTTGAAAGGAGCGCTGACGGCAGATGAACAGTTTGGTTTGATTTCAGGATGTGACAATTTATCAACAGCCGCTAAAGGTGCTAAACATATACAGGTATACTAGCTTTTAAAAAATGAAATATTATTTATCATTGTTATTTTCCCACCAAATATATTTTAGAACATGAACTTAATTTTTTTTAAATTCTGGATTCTAGAAATAATCCTTATCATTTTTATCTATGGAAACTGTCCTCAAAATAAACATATCATTTGGAAAAATATTTTTTTCCTGGTGACAGTCTTTGTCCATCCATTCGTCTGTCCAGAGTTGTATTTCAGAACCTTGTTGACTAAATCTGTTCATTCTCTACATTTGCCTAGTACTTTATCTGGGACATATTGCAGTGGTTTACTGATTCAATTGAAGATGGCTGACTGGCAGCCACTTTGTTTTTTGGAAATGTGGTATCTTATGCATGCTTTGTCAGTGTTCAAATTTGGTACATATATTTACATGTTAGGATACATGTCTATGGCAATTTGTTGCGCAAATGAATCAAAGATGGCTGACTGGCAGCCACTTTCTTTTTTGGAAATGTTATATCTTAGAGTATTTGTAGAGTAACTTTGAAGAATTATTTAAAAAAAAAAGTATTATTTGAACTTGGAGGTCAGTGACTGAGGGCGCATTGATGTAACTCATTGATGTAACTCATTGATGTCATTTTCATTAAATAAAAATTGTACAATTTAGATTACATGTTTATGACAATTCGTTTTACAAACTGATCAAAGATGGCCAACTGGCGACCATCTTGCTTTTTAACCATACTACTATATTTCTCTAAGGCTTTAGGGACCATTTTCATTCATATTTGGCACATACATCATACATATTGGAATACATGTCCATGTCCATGTTGGTTTGTTTCATAATCAGATCAAAGATGGCTGTCAGTTATATTAATATTGGCAAACCATTTTTACCTATTGGCACTCTAGACTGCTAGCATGTGTCATTCAGATTCATTTGATTAATAAAATCCTGCATTATGTGTAGTCTGGAAATAACATTTCTTCTATTTACATTAGGAGTGTGTTCCTGAAGAATTAGAATTGAAAAAGAAAGTTATGTCGCAAATTGACTCAGTTGCTGATGACCACACTGTATTGTCAAGCTCAACGTCTACTTTGGTGCCATCTTTATTCACTGAGGATTTAAAACATCGACATAATGCCTTGGTTTCACATCCTGTAAGTACACAACCTTTGATGACAAATACTTATACATATTGTATGGAGATCTGGATAACTAATAGTTCTGCCTGAGATTTTGCGATTCACATCTGTTTTAAATTGGTTGATGGTTAGCCATTTGTTTAGTGACAATCTTCTTTAGTTCTTGGGTCAGAGTTGATAAGATTTTTAGTACAGAAGTTAAAACTTAGTTTTGCAATCAATGTGTGCATGTATTTTGTACATTGTAAAACAACTCTAATTATGTCAAGGACAATTTCACAAAATAAACCGGGAAAATTGTTTTTGCATATTTTTTCAAAATGTTTAATCAAGACATAGTGATAGAAAATTGTCTATTTGAACAAAAATTAAGACAATAAAAGAAAATACATAAAAATGTGCAAACATATTTAAACTTTTTAGACTTTAAAACTGATGGCACTGAAAGGAGTTTTAGTGATTGAGAAAGGATTTAGTGTATGTGAAGTCTTTATTGGAAACATAGCAATAGATATCTACTTAATTCTGTAATTTATAGACATATGATGACAGATGTATTATAATCTCTATTATTATACGTTTGTCACCGTAACACCATAAGTTACAGCGTATTGCACTGGGTATTTTCATCCTACCATATTAGAAAATGCAAATTCCAAATATAGGGCGATTACGCACTCAAGTGCGTCTTCTAATAATAAAAACAAACATGGCAGCCCCACGGATTTGACTGGACTCCTCACAAAGAAGGGTGCTAAATCTGTTCTAAACTTTTTGGGATTCAGCATTTCCATGATGTATCCTTGGGAGGAAAAGATGTATATTAATAAGGTTATTACGAGGATACCTGCAAATTATGCACTCAGACAGTATGCCATCGCATCAACCTTCGCTGCACGTCAGTCGATACTGTACTGTCTTCGTGCATACTTTTAGGTATTCTCGTAATAACCTCATATTATTATCTATTTTGACAGGTAAATCCCCCGTACTATGTGCCATTTGTAGAGATAGTACCCGCACCATGGACTGACAAATCCGTTGTCACCAATACTAAAATATTGCTTGAAGAAATTGGTCTGAAGCCAATCACCATGACGAAAGAAAAACCTGGGTTTGTTTTGAATAGAATCCAGTACGCTATTATTAATGAGTGTTACCGGCTTGTTGAGGTAAGAGAGTTTGGGCAGATATCATCGTCAGCCTAGCTTTATTGTTTCTGTATAACACTATTCATATCTTCATTTGTAGGTGTGAGCTAATTTAGATAATTATGGTCAGCTATTATCATCTAAGTTATTCCTAAATACTGTATTTGTTCTATTAGTAGCACATGTGCTTACATGGTAAAACTAAGTTCTATTTCAATAATCAAATATACAGTAAATCTAATTTTTGGTTCATATGGATTTATATTAGAGTCACACTTCTCGTGAACATACTGTAAAACATGTTGAAAAAGCGGCATGCAATTTTAGCGAATTGTGGTAAAATGACGTAATAGTGAAATGTTGATTTAGCGAATCTCTCTTGTCATTGTTGATTTCTTTGTTTGGCGGCCATTTTGATATAATTAGTCCCCGTTCGGACGCAGTCCGAAAACGGGGACTTATGTTTTGACCTCTGTGTGTTCGTGCGTGTGTCTGTGCGTGCGACCGAACCTGTATCTTAGAAATGCCTGGACCAATCACAATCAAACTTCACACATACATCATACATGATATTATACATATGCACGTCAATTTGTTTCACGATCTGATTCAAGATGGCTGAATGGCGGCCAATTTTGTGCTAAAAATCATCAAAATTAAGCATTTCCCGGCTGTTTACAGATGAATTTTGTTCAA